TCTGTACTTGTGCCTTTTTTCAGTGGATTCCTTTCATATTTCATTAATTTTGAATTATGATTGTTAAAATAATGTAATTTGTGAATGATTTTATACTAATAAAGTTTTGTTCTTTTATTTTTAAATGGTTTTATCTGTAACAAAAAGTTTACTAGTCTTTGTATATCGCATCACATTATCATCGAAGTATTAGATATTACATTGACTTGGTTTATTCGAAAAAAAAAATTTCCGACAACACCGGGCAACAACATATTTTTTCTCTACTACTAAAGAAAATTTAAAGAAAATGATTACCTCTAGTTTTCAAGTTATGATAGATTTATTCAAAATATTTTTATATATCGTGTAAATAACATATTTTTATTTAATAACCTTGTTTATTCATTGAAAATTGTATTTAAAAATATTCAAAACAATATATAATAGCAATACCAGTTTTAAAAAGCAATGAGTATAATAGTATCATATACTGAAAATACATTCAGGGTATGTTCAAAACTTTCATCATGGTGCTATTTTTAATTTTTTGTTATTGCTTGACTTGTTGCGCCTTTTTTGTATGTTCTCAGTTTCACGCTGTAATAAAAAACAGTAATCTCCCATCATAGCAGGATTCCATCGTCCTTGATATCGCTGTTCCGTTGTAGAAATATCTTGGTGGAAACGCTCACCATGCTCATCGCTCACTGCACCTAGATCATTTGGAAAGAAGTCTAAATGGAAATGTAAGAAGTGCATTTTTTGTGACATCCTACACACCATTTTCCTTTAGTTCTCGAGCATATCATCAATAATCACAGCATAATTTTCATCCCTGTAATTTCCTAAGAAATGTTGACAACCAGTTCGAATGATTTCCAGGCAGCAAGTTCTTTCTGATTGAGTAGTGTTTCAAAATTATCATCCATCAACACTTCCTGAATCTGTGGCCCAACAAAGATTCCTCCTTTCATTTTTTCTTCATTGATGGCCCCCGTGGCACAGTGGTATGTCTTCGGACTTATAACGCCAGAAACCGGGTTTCGATACCCGTGAGGGGTAGAGCATAGATAGCCGATTGTTTAGCTTAGTGCTTAATTACACACAAACAAAGCTTCACTGATTTTTGGAAACTTTTCAGACAGATATCTCAAACCATTACCATCTTTGTTCATTTATTTTATAAAATTCTTCATGATTCCCAATTTAATATGAAGTGGAGCAAAAACACATTTTGAGGATTTAATAAAGGTTGATACTCGATATTCTGTTTCCTTGGTACTTAGTTCACTCTCACTGACAATTCCTTCTTTTTAAAATGACTTTTATCATCTCAGCTGTCCCAGAAACACAAAAAAGCAACAATTTTTGATATACCCACTCTGCAAGCCTAGCAGGTGTACAATAACTTTTAGATTACCACATATGTTCCACCTATGGTGATCATATTTCATGGCATCACGTATAAACTGCATGCTTTGATAAGTTTCTTTCGTGTTCACAGCATAAGCAACAGGAATCGGTGGCTTAATGTTCCCATTATGCAAGAGTACAATTTCAGACTACCTTTAGCTGAGTTGATAAAAAGTCTATTCTTGAGGATGATGTTCAGGACCTAATTATTTCATTAGTGCATCAACATCTGTACAGAAACACAAGGTATCTTGTATGCTGTAGTGAGAAGCAAGACTTTGATGGCGACTTGGTAAATTGAAACTCTTGTTCCTGGAGCTAATAAATTTTATTGCCGTAAACGAGAGCCAAGAAGTTCCCCATACTGCTTTGATAGATCATATGTGGCAGTTTATGTTGAGGTGTCACAGGAATAGAATTACTAGAAGAAGATAATGAAGATAATTCATTCTCTTCTTCACAGGATAACTCTTCTGTTTCCCAATTTGCTGGCTGGATGTGACACTGGAAGACCATCCCTATGAAGTATTGGTTTCATTGCAGATTCAGTATCTGGATATTTAATGTATTGTTTAATTTTGCCTGAATATTCAGAAACATTATTCATGCAAAAATAACAGTCGATTAGATGATCTTTAGGCTCACACCATATCATGGGAACTGTAAATGGCATACTTGTGCTATCTTCTTATTCAGCCACTGTATCAAGCCAGATGTGCAAACTGTACAACAAACATGTGAAGCTCGATGTTTTTCTTGTTCATCAACTTTACACCCCAAATAGTGGTAGTAGGTTAGCTTTACCTTGTGTGTGATGTTTTTCCTTTGTGAAACTAATATGTTTTCCACAAATGTAACAGAAACTGTTTGGATGATTTTTGCACTTTCGAACTTTACTTGAACTGTAGGCAGCCAGCATTCCAAATGATTCTCTAAAAAATATAAACGAATTTATGTTTACAGAACTAGAGTTTAAAAGACTAAAAGAAAAAAGTTTTGCAGAATTTGATTATATCATGGGTATGATGCAAGGAAGAAGATTGGACTGTGCATGGAGCAATGCAAAGTGACCAACTGAGTGAGTGAGAGGCGTCTGTCTCGCCCCTTTTATGCTTAGTGGAAGGACTTCTTGAATGTTCTAGCACGTGATGGTTTCATAATTTCCGGGTGAAGCAGGTGAGCGTGGGAATGAAGCAAAAGTGGGGCAATTCGCTACAATTATATCGAAAACAAATACCATATATGAACAATGTATTTGGAATTTTACACCAATACAATACAGTCAATGTCTGAAGTTATCAAAAATGTATGCTTTTACCCATTAAACTGCCCAAGTAAACTTAATTTCACATCGTAAATCTATTGTACAGAGTTGATTGGATGGTATTTCACGTAATGCTGATAAAATACTGATATATTACAATAACTCAAATTCTAGAAGCGATGGACTAATTCTGACTACATGTTTGAGATTATCACCATCAATGTACCCTGAATCACTTGATTTTTCTCCAGTAGCAATTTTTTTTCCAATGTAATAAAGGTGAGTATTAATTTATTTATGACTAGCAGGAGTATCCGTTCCCTGGACAGAAGTTATGTAAATTCATGATCAATGAAAGATTATCTTAGGACATGAAAAGTTGTTTCCCTTATATATAGTTGTAAAAAACGCCCATAAAAATTGCAAAACACAAAATGTGAAATCGCAACTTTTCATGTATCTCCGCATGGACCCAGCAAACCTTCATGCCAAATCTGGTGAAGATCCATCAACAGAGGGTGAGGTAATGGTACAAAGCGCCCATAAAAATCGTAAAATGCAAAACTCAAAATGTGTATGTATCTCCCCATGGACCCAATGAACCTCCATACTAAATTTGGTGAAGATACATCCAGAGGAGGTGATGCAGTTAGTAAAAAAAAAAAAAACGCAAAAAAATGCCCATAGAAACAGCAAAACGCAAAATGCGAAAC